GGGAGGAGAAAGAAAGAGAGAGGGAAAAAAACGGTTACAGCGGAAGAGTGAGCGCGGGTGCGAAGGGAGATTCGAAGATGGCGAGGGGAGCAGAAAGGGGGAAGCTCGCTTGCATGGCGCTGATCACAAATGCAAAAAGAGGCACCAAAACAGTTACAGATTCCTAAGTCCTATGCTAATTCAAAAATTGAAGTCACCATATCCACTCGTAAAGTAGGCGCGGGAAAGGCAGTCCTACATCCATTCATATTCCACCAAATTCCCATAGTTTTTCACGAAGTAATCGAGAACATTCATGCACAAAAAGGAGACGTTGGGTTTCGTTCATTTCGGAATTTCTAACTTCTGGGCCAAATTCCTAGCGCGTTTACTAATCGCGCGCGCAATTTCCATGCATTTCCCAAATTATGAAAACAAAACTTCAAGAATCAATGAGACTGGAGACACGGGTCTCAGCAAGGCACCTTTAATCAAACAGAGAGGGACCTTATTAGGCCAAGCAAAATTCGAAAAGAAAAAGAGAGAGAGAAGGGGTTCAGAAGATGGTACAGGCTCAGAAGCTGGTTCGGCGGGGCTGGTTTTGCCTGGATGTATGGCATTGTATGCAGCTTCATTCTTCCCATAAGACGTGGCGTGCATTCAGCCGCGTCTTAGAAAAGTGGTTGGAAAGTGTTCTGATGGGATGGTGCCGCATCTTAGAAAAGGACACACTGTGGAAATTCTGTTGCCTTGTGTTTCTGCCCTTTCCCTGTTACACACTAGCACTGGCACAGTGGCACTTAACCCTACTTAGGAGTCGATGTTCTGGTTGGAGTACCATTGCATGCACATTGCAGCAGTGCCGGACCCGTGAACGTGACCGGCAGCGGTCACTTGAACGTGACCAGCCGTTCATTTCGTGTTTTTTCTGTGAACGGGCTGACCACTAAAGAGTGGTGTTTTTTTTTTTTTTTTTTTTTTTTTTTTTTTTTTTGCTCCCCCAGGTACATTCGCCTCAAGCCCCACAGTGTGGTGACATTGAAAAAAAAAACAAAAATCGAAATGACCTACAAAATAGCAAAAGAAAATGCTTATTTTGGCTGGTTGATTTTTTTTTTTTTTCGTTTTCAATTAAAAAAATATATTATTTGTGAACAAAAAAAAAACATACCCCCACCCTCCTATAGAAAAAAAACATACCCCCCCAGCCAAAAAATAAAAATAAAAAAAATACCGCTCTCCGTGAACTCCATGAACTCCCGTGTCGTGATTGCAATCACACTCATTGACCGGCTCCGTTCACAGATCCCGTGAACGGTGAACGGGGGTACAGCACTGCATTGCAGCACAATGTTCTGATTGCAATCACATTGCAGTCAAGGTCAAAGAGTGGAGGTCCAATGTTTCAAAACCACGTGGGACCTATGAAACCGTATGAGCGCACTTAAGCGCGCGCGCGTGTGCTTAAGCGCGCGCTTAAAGACCCCTGCGCCGCGCTCAAACGCGCTCAAGCGTTTTAAAACACGCGTACATATCAAAACATCAGCGCACACGTTGCGCATAGGCAGGGGATGTCGTGGGGGGTGTTGCGCATAAACAAAAAGTTGGGTTGTTGGGGGTGATTTTGGGGGTGGTGGG